TTATTATCTTTTTTCCAATAATAATGCATCGCTCGGTATAGTGTTCCCTTGACCTTCACCAAAACAGTCCGAGCGTCTGAAGGATATACAAAATAGATACGCAAGATCAAACGAGGTTTACAAGTTTTTTTTCATGTTTATTTTCATTATTTATTTAAATTGCTAACACTCATTTATATTACATCTTAAGGAACAATCTATCGTACGTTTGTTTGATTTTTTATGGGTCTGGTATAAATTACTAACTGGCATATTTTAGGACGCTAATAAAACTTCGACGTATTTGAGACACGTGATTGCAGATATACAAACTCGCTGGAACTCCAGCTATTTAGCATGGTGTCGACTCTTAGAGTTAGAAAAATACATTCGTGTGTTGGAAGTTGAATTAGCCAAAGATACAAATCCTGATTCTAAAAAAGATTCCCAGCAGTTGACCAAAATAATGTTAACAAATGATGAATGGAATTTGCTTAGTGAGTTGATTCCAGTTTTGGGTCCTTTCGAAGAAGCAACCAGATACCTTGGTGGTAGCAAATATGTTACCTACAGCACGATGAGTCCTATAATGTTACACATCATTAATATGCTCAAACCCGCATCAGCATCATCAGAAGAAATAAATATCGAAAGCATCAAGGATATTTTTGCAGAACTTGAAATTTGTGAAGATGAAGATGATATGCATAAAAAGATAGATCTACAGTATATAAGCCCATGCAAACATCTGGAGTTTTGGAGAAGGTCAAGGGAACACTATACCGAGCGATGCATTATTATTGGAAAAAAGATAATAACGAATCATATATACCCTCCATCCTCGACCCTCGTGTTAAAAAGTTTGATTTTGCGCCTGACAAAATCAAACAGGTTCAAGAGTTATTAAGAATCAGATATCATGATGCAAAAGATAATCTACCAACAACAGTAAACCGAACATCTACTGCTAACGCTTCGTCATTTCATAACACTACTGTTTCTCCGTTTTATAAACCAACGCTTTTAAATATATTTAACAATTCGTCACCTCTTAATTTGCAGAGCGAGCTTGATGAATACCTTGCGGTTCCACAAATACCATTTGATTCTGACCCTTTCGCGTGGTGGAACATCAATAAGGAAAGGTTTCCCATTATCAGCAAATTAGCACGTATGTACCTTTCGGTTTCTGCCACGTCCACACCTTCTGAAAGGTTATTCTCTGACTGTGGTAACCTGTTGGGTCCTAAAAGAACACGCATAAGCCCCGAGTTTTTCAAACGATTAATGTTCCTGAAACGTAATTATGACATTTTAGATAATATCCACCCTTTAACATAGTATGAAAAATACAAATAATTAAAAGGAAAATTTTAAACGGTGCACCTATGCACTTAGTGCACCCTATTCTTATACATAATAGCAAATAAGCATACTATTAGAGTAATAATAAAGGCTAGATTAGTGTTAATGTTAGGTTAGCTGTTAGGGTTAGGTTAGGATTAGGTTAGGGTTAGGGTTAAAATTTTACGGAAAAGATTTTTTATTAGTTACACAACAGGGGTTACCCTAGTAAAATCTAACAAGCTTATTCTGCTTCAAAAACCAAATCTGAAATTCTGATCTCTAAAAAAAACCAGCTATTTTGTTAGTAACTATTTTTTTATTTTTTTTAGTGCGTGTTAAAATTCAAACAAAGCCTTTTTTTTCTTTACCTAGTTCAGAAAGTTGCGTCTAAGCTAACTTCTCTAAAAGAGATTATAAAAGACTAATTTTAGAGTTAACTTTCTAGCACTCTAGTTGTGACGATTTTTTGCTTGTGTAACTTTACCTCCTTAAAAAGTACTTTAAAGTGTATAAATAAGTTACCCGGGCAGTTGATTTATATCAGCCAATCAGACAGAAGTCCTTCTATGAGATTGGTAGAGAGTCACTCGCTGAGTTTTAATTTGAATACTGGAATAAACATAATTACATCGTAACACATGAAAAAAAACAACAAAAAATTTTTTCATGATCATATGAGTTTGCCGGATAATCGTTCAATATTTGTAGTTTCAACGCGTGAAATATTCAATTTAATTAAAAGTATGAACAACGGCTATTTACAATACACCTCGCCACCAGATTGGAATTTAGACGCCTTTGCAGATTGGGTTGCTACCAATCATTCTGATGACAAAAAGAAAATAATAGACTACATGAAAAAAAGTCTTGAGATATACAGCAACAACATTCACATTAACCCAGACGCAAGGCAAAAAGCAGATGAATTACTTTAAAATATAAAGGTGAGAATTTGAACACGTACTTTTTTTGGCACACCCAAGGGACTATTAGTCATCCGGGTGTTGAACTATTAGTTCGCCAACCAAATCACATCTACGGCACATCCAAGGGACTATTAGTCATCCGGGTGTTGAACTATTAGTTCGCCGCAGATTTTTACAATTATACTGGCCTTTATTTGTGTTTTGTCTTAAGAATGAGCTAAATACATTTTTTATTTAATGAACATATGGGAAAGAATTGGAAGAGTGACAAGGCTAAGATCGGTTATTTCCAGATATTAAAGGATAAGAGGAAAATAGCTGTGTTACAAGGCGAACAAGAAGCGCTACTAGCTGACATTGAATGTTCAGCGGTAATTTGATCTCTATACATCTATATATTAATTTTAAAATTATACTAATTAATGATCTTGCAGATCCGACAGATGCGAAATCATACAAATGCAGCAGTAGCAATTCAACAACGAATTGCTGAAAAATTCATAGGGGTTACTCGAAAAATTTCTACAAATAATGTAGTAGGAAAAGATCAAGCTGAAAAGGCCGTCTTGGAACGGCCACGTACGCCGGAAGATAAGGTCAATTAGGTCAACAAATCTTGGTTTTCATAACAGAAAACTTTTAAATAGACCATCCAGGTTATGAAAACCAATTAAATTAATTTTGCATGGCCTTATTATGGGTTTAATGCGCACGTGTATAGTCCGTTTTCTAATTTTTCGAATTACAGATTAGAACCGCACCCCTCAAATATAAGCCCTCCATTTCATCAATTGATACACAAAATTTTTCCCAAGAATTGGAAGATGTAGTGGTTTTTTTTTGTTTTGTTTTGTTTTTTTTTTTTTTTGTTATGTGGATGGTTCAATAGTTAAAATTTTTGAATTTCTGTTTTAGGAATCTGAATCTGAGGAATCTGAATCCGAAAATTTTGATATAATGTACGATGCCGAAGTCCAAGATAATGTTAATAAGGAGAAAAAGGAGGAAGTCCAAGATAATGTTAATAAGAAGAAAGGAAAGGTGAGATATAGTATCTATCGCTGGTAAAAAAGATTGCTTAATATTTTAGTAAAATATGATAAGCATACTGTATTTATATATTTATCATATTTGTCAAAATATTATGATAAAAGTTATCTTGTTTTATCAATGCATCACGGTTATTTAGGAGAATAATCAGTTTTTTCATTAATTTATAAATTTGGGGCCATTCAAGATAAGCGATGAAAGCAGAATGGAGATTGAAAATGCTTATATGAAGATGAAGAAGGATGCAATGTGGAAATTGTCAAGCGGGAAATTCGTGGAAGAAGAGTTATATAATCTTGGAAAAAAACTAGAATTCGAACAGTAAGTTTGAATAATATAACAACATTGTATCTTATAAAAATATATATATATTAATTTATTGTAAATATTAGCTCTGTTCATTCCTTTATAATCGATACAGAGGATGAAATAATCAAACAACATTTCAGAGAATATGAGTTAGAAGAGATAGATAATGAGCATGTTCCAAAGGCTCCAGATCTTTCACAGGATGTAATTGATTATTTAAACAAGTTTATAAACGTAGTATGTTATATGTTAGTTATTTATAAGTAGCACCAATTTATACAGGATAATACTTACAGTATATTAACTTTTCTGGTAGACGAGTGCGAACGAAGTGCGCTCTATAATTGGTGAGCAAGATGATAGGCTTAATGCAAACTATGATTCATCAAAACATCATGACCTAGATTATATTCGTTTTGTACTTTATACAATGTAAGTATCTATTTTTTAGACCAGGGTTTAGCAAATTGATTTACTTTATATTATTAATGTATAGTAATTACTATGCACTAGCGGTGTTAATATTAAAACTGTACTAGCGTATTAATTGACAACTTTATTTTAGGCATTAGAAATTTGTATGCTAATTTCTATTGTATATATTCTTTAAATAGGACCAGAGAAATTGAAAACGGTGGATTAAAACAACCAAATTTAGAATCATGGTACAATTGTCATGTTTGGAGTGCGATCGTTGACCATGGCTTTGGAGACATCAAGGGATTATCAGTTGTTCGGTAACAGATTGATCTTGATTTACTTTTATTAAAAAAAATTACTGTATTACGGTATTTCTGTATAATTTTCTTTTGGTCTGCATTGTATAGAGGAGAAAGTGCATGTGTTGCAACAGCTACCAGAAAAAATTCAAAAAGGATAACAACACAGAGGCGCCAAATGGGACGTAGAGGAGATTGGATACTAAGAATGAGCGGTAATGGTGACCACGATGAATATGGCATGGGTGAAGTTGGAAAAAAATGGGAAGATGAATTTGGGACGAAGTTTTTGAGGGAAAAGTCTCTGAAACAGCCTAAAGCCCTAAAGGATATGTTGGTTAAACTCATCCGAAAAGTTAATTGGGATAAGGAATTACGTTCTAAGCTTCAAACTATAGGAATAATGCATTCAGGTATATAGCTTTTCTGCTTGTTTCTTTAGATTAACAAATTGTATATTTATCATCCCAAATCTTAATAGGATTAATGATGGTGGTCGTGTATATGGACAATCCACATGGATATGTGTGTAGAATCCGGCGTGGGGATATAATGGAGGTCCCGGATAATGAGGAGAATCTTTCAGCATTATTGGTTATTCTTGCTGCAATATTGAATGCTAAGGTTTCTATATTAATTTTCCATTTTTATTTAATGACTACATAATAATTGATCTTTTAATGTTATTAGATAATTGTGCGAGAAACAATGAAAATTGTACAACAGAAAAAGAAAAGCGAGGATATTTTCAAGCAAGCAGGCCGGGTAAAGCGATTACGAAGTTCTGAAGAAATTCCTGCATGTTTAACTACGCCAAAAAAAATAAAAGCATGCACTAGGGATGTTAAACTTGTTAAATTAAGCAGTTTGTGTTCCGAACTAATTTGACCACATAAACTAGTTAGACGATAATCATAAACAAATTTTGAAACTAGTTTGAAGAATCTGATAACGAAACTATAAATTACCAATAAAAATTGATCTGCATTCTGGATATATATTCAAGTTCTAAATCTTTGCATGCTGATTCCCTTGCAACAAGTTCTAATGAAACGGGGGTATGCTAGCGTATATAGACCCGCAATACATTCTTTCGGATCCAGCTATGCGTTCTCCTTTGAATTTAGTATTAGATGTCGCGGCTGATGCTGAAATTGGCTGATGCTGAAATTTGAATCTATTTTATTATGAAATTTTAAAATTTTTTTGGGATGTTTTTTGTACGATTTTGTTTTATGGTTAGGTTAGGATTTAGGGCTATATTTGATATTGAAAGAGTATATGTGGATTTTAGCAGAGCTT